CTTTGAGAAGAACCTTCCTTGAGCTCTGTTACTGGATGCAATTGCTGTTTCTGTGACCTCCCATCAAACAATGTACCTTTCATGGTGTTTGTTTCTTCTGTAAATTTCAGGAGAGCAGATCTGTCTTTTCTTTACAATGACTACAACCAGACCTTGAATTATAGTAGGCGCCCACATATTTTAAAGAGAATAAAATAGAATAGAAAGGGGATTAGATGAAAGATGAGAAAATTTCTATACAAAGCAGCATTTTCTAATCTGATTTCCTACCATAATGTGCCTGGTCTCTCAGTGGGAGATAAAGCATCTATAGGCATAAAGGCATATTAAAGGCTCTGAGAAAGTCTATGGTGTGGAAACTTATTTTATTTAACCTGGTGTTCCTCAAATCCATTTGACAAATATACTTTTGTACCTGGGCTCTGCAGTGGACAGAAATACATTTCAAATTAATTTAAGCCCCAAAGGATTTAGTGGTTTATGTCAGTGGGAGGGATTCCTAGAGAAGATTCAGGATGTCAGAGACTGGGACTGAAGACTCATAAATCTCTTTCCATTCATTTTCTTTTTTTAAAAAAAATATCTTTATTATTTTATTTATTTGTTTTTATGTGGTGCTGAGGATCGAACCCAGGGCCTCATGCACGTGCTAGGTGATGAGCTGAGCCACAACCCCAACCCTTCTCTTTTGCTTTTGTTGGGTACTTACCTCATTCTATCCTAGTGTGGACAGTCCTGACACATGGCTTTTCAACATAGTGGAGAATAACCTCTGATGAAAGAAAGAATTTTTTTTTTAACCCACATAAGAACCAGTTCTTCTAAAGGATATGGTCTTTGCACAGGTCATGCATCCATCCTTTTGACCAATCACTCTTGTCAGGGGAGGAGTTTACCAAGAATGGCCATATCTAGGCTTTTTGTTCACCTGTGTGGCCTGGGAGGGGAGAGGGTAAATGTGCAGAACTGACTGCTTGAAGAAGAGAGTTAGGAAAGCTTATTGGGAAGAACAGAAATAATAAACCCCATTCCTTCAACAACTATTTGTTGAACCTTTCTCCTCAGGTACTCTTGTAGGCACTAGGAACATTGCACTGAACAAATTAGGTGGATATGTCTACCTCTGGTGAACTTATATTCTCATGGGGATGTAGATTTAAAAAAAATTTTTTTTTAACATATGTGATATGTTTGATAGTGACAAATGCAAGGAACAAAAAATAAAGTGGAACAGAGGAGTTAGAAGTATCTGTGGAGAGAAGGGAGTTGAAATTTTAATTAGGGTGGCTAGGGAAAACCTCTCTGATAAGAAAGTGACTTTTAATTAAAGAGCAAAGGAAGTGAGGGAGGGGGCTTTGCAGACATTGCCTGCAGAGCAAACAGCAGGTGTAAAGGACCTGAGGTGAACCTGTCTGAGGGAGAACATGGGACCAGGGGTGGCCACAGGGAAGGCCAGGAGAGAGTGGTAGGAAATAAGTTCAGGGAGCAGTTGGCAGCTAGATAATGCTGGGATTTGGGGTTGTTGTAAAGAGCTTGGCTTCACTTAGGGAAACAGCAACCAGATGGAGTTTTGAGCAGAGGAGTAACAGGGTCTGACTCTTGATTTTTCTGCTGTGGCTGCTTTGGTGAATACACAGCAGGGAGGGCAGGAGCAGGCTATCTAGTCAGGAAGCCAGGGCCATACTTCAGAGAATGTCTTGGACATGAACGAGGGTGGTAGCCATGAAGGTGTTGAAAAAGTTGGATTATAGGTACATTTGGAATGTAGATCCAACAGGTTTGCTGATGGAATGGGTGTGGGGTACCAGAGAAGGAAGAGTTGAAGATCACAGCAAGATTTTTGCCTTGAGCAATGGAAGAGTAGAGGTGCCATGCAAGGCAGGGAAGACTGCTGAAAAACTGATTTTAGGGGACTGTCGAAAGGGCTTGTTTTGGATGAAATGAAGTTTGAAATGTGTTAGAAATCCAGGTGGAGGTATTATATATAGGTCTGGAGCTTAAAGAAAAAGTATTGGCTAAAGATGTAAGTTTGATAAGTCCTCGAACTTCCTCACACTTTGGAGATCACCCAGGGAGCTTTTGTGTGTGGGGAAAAGATTCATTCAAAGAAGAATTGGCATTTACACGGGTTTAAAAAAAATTCTTTCTTTTATCAGAGGTTATTCCTCATCATGTTGAAAACTATTCAATTTATTCAGAATAAACTGTTCTTACCCTCATGAAACTGGGGGAGGGGAACTTATACCTTGCCGAAGTGTGATTCAGAAATGAGTAATTCTGAAAGTTCCCAAGGAAGTAGGATGAAATGGGAAGAAAGTCTTGTGCAGAACTCTGAAGAATGTTTAGAAAAGGTAGAAACAGGGAAAGGACTTTTTTCTTTTCTTGTAATGAGTGTGAGAATCTAAGTATATAAGATGGAAGGAATTATGGTTGAATCACCTGCCTAACCAGGAGCAAGGAGTTTGCTGAAGAGAATGGGAGGTAAAACCAGAATAATGCACAGCTTTGTTTTCTGTATTGGTAAATGAGAGCAAGCACTCTCTGGAGAGAGTTTGAGGATTGTTATTTTGCATCTGTTTGGCCACCTGGCTGTACTCCACACTCTACTTAGTGTTCTGGAGAACAGTTCATTACTGTAATTTCCTTAGGTGATAATATCAATTTTGGCAACTTCATGATTTTAGACCACTCTCTTGGCTGGTGTTTTTATATCTGTAAAATGTAAAGACAATTTTTTAATATTAGCATTTCTTGGAGGATTAATGGTAAAAATTTTGGAAAATTCCATACTACTTAGGAGTCGTTATATTCCTAACCTCTAAGAATATATAACTTGTCTTTATTTATTGGTTAGTGAATTGATTGGTTTCCACCAAATTCTTAGTCCTTTCTTGCTTTTCGTCTGATAGCTTTGTTCTTGCATGAAGTACCAAGTTAAAAACAAAATCCTATAAAAATGCTCCTGAGGGTGATGGAGTCCTCAGAGTAACTTTTCATGTCATTAATTTCCCCTAATTAAAAACTCTTAAGTGGTCGTTGAAAATAAAATGTTGGTATAAACTTTGTACTAATGGGCAAAATTGGATCAAGTGTGCCACTTTCCATCCCAGCAATAATCCATGGCACAAAATACTAAACTCACTGGTACTTTTGACCTGAGGAGTGGGGCATTTATTTACAGTGGACGATAAGTAAGTATGAGAAGTCTGTGTCTTTTGTGTGGTCTTGCAAAATTCTTATCCTTTTTCCCTCCTGCAATTTTGAATTGTTTTCTTTGAGTTTTGTGGAAGAGAGGATGCCTGTCAGATAAGCTTTCAACGTGACTGTGTTAAGCAGCCTTCACTCTCCAAGAAAACGGCTTTACACCTTCTCTTCTCTCCTCAACCCCCACATGCCTCCCTCCTCCTCACCATCAGCTCACTTGTATTTCATTGCAAAAATATGAGTCCTCAGAAGCCCTCATGGTCACTCCACCAACTCTCCCAAGTCACCCACCTTTGAACCCAGAGAGTCTACCTTCCCTGGTCAGATCGATAAGCTCTTTTCCTCTCTAAAACTGGCACTCCTACCTGGGATGTGGATATCATCCCTTCACTATAGACCCAGGTTGCTTGAGCTGCTTTTCTAATTATTCCCTATCCTTCCTGCAGCATTAATCTGTCTCTACTAGATCATGCTATTCATATTCCAAAATGCTGTCACAGCTCTATTAAAACAAATCCCCAGTGTTATGCCTTCTTCACTTCCCTCTCCACTTTTCATCTTTTCTTGGTAGCTGTATTTCTCAAAATAATTACCTCTACTCCCTGTTGCTCCTTCTTTACGTGTCATTGTTCATGTGGCACTTGGGTGTCCATGGTAACAGCTCTTGTCAAGATTCACCAGCACTACCATCTTGCCAGCCTCACGGGTCCTTTCATAGTTCTCATCTTATTTGGGCTTTAGGCAGCCTAGGACTCAGCTGATACACTTTCCTTATTGAGCCCTTGTGTCACCTGGCTATGGGTAAAGTCTGGTTTTCCTCTCTTTATTTGTTGCTTCTTTTCAATGTCCTCTGCCGATGCCGCCTTTTATTCCTATGAAAGGTAGAGTGGCCCCAGAGTAGAGATCTTACCCTTTTCTCTCTATACTTACACTCAGGGCTATGTCACCTGTCCAGTGGCCTTGAATACTGTTGACCTGGTGATGTCTCTCAAATTTATGTCTTCTGGCTCCACCTTTTAACTGGGGCTCTTTGTAAGCATCTCCCACATGAAACTTCTAAGCCTCCTTACTTTGGCCTTCAAGGTCTTTATGGGCTGGTCCCCTTTACCCATCCAGCTTCATCTGTGGCTATTTCTGCCACTTTCCTCCTTTAGCTCCCAACACATCTGACTTCTTACTACTCTGCAAACCTCCTTCGTGTTCCAGAGGCTTTGCCCTTGCCATTCTCTTTGCTAAGAATGTTCTTCATTCAGGTCCATGCATGGCTTGTACCCTGGGTGCCAGTGTAAAAATAAATATATATATGTATATATTTCTTCAGAGGTCTTCCCTGACCATCTTGTTTAAAGTAGTACCTGTTAAAAATAGTACCCTCTTATCTGTTTCATTTTTCCTTCTCAATACTTATCACTACTTTAAATCATGTGTTATTTCCTCCTGTAGCAAGGTGAACCTAAGCAGAGCTCATAGTTAGCCTGTCCCTTCCTGTATCCCTCAGACTTAGAATATTGCTTTGCTCATAAGTTTTCATGAGTGAATGACTAAAGAAATGAATGGATACTACACATTGTTATATATATAAACCATGTGATTATACCTTCATCATGTTTTAAATCAAGGTACAGCTTAAGTGTTTATTTTAATAGAATGGTTAAATACAACGTAAAAGTGGCTGTTTAGGGACTGTTGCATGAAGACCCCATAAAGGGACATCCTGTGAGTGATGCGTATAGTATCTCTTCTTGTTTCCCTTTTTTTGGAAATAAAATGGTTTTTGTTTGGTTCTTCCCATGCAGCTGAAGAATAAGTTCATGAAAAAACTGCCACGTGATGCAGAAGCTTCCAATGTGCTTGTTGGGGAAGTTGACTTCTTGGATACTCCTTTTGTTGCCTTTGTTCGACTACAGCAGGCTGTCATGCTGGGTGCCCTCACTGAGGTCCCTGTGCCCACAAGGTAGGCTGCTCTTTCCCACCTGCTGGGGTCTGCGATGTGCTTATAGGGAAATGGGCTCCCTTCCAGGCTAGAGGATCAGAATGAGAATATATCCAGTACATTCAAGAGGTTTAATTTGAAATAATGGCTAAGTCTCATTTTTATGCTATCAAATGACTAGGCACTTGTATAGTTATGACAACAGTTAATAATAATTATAATAATCTTTTGGGTGAAGGACTACTTTCTTCTTATAGATTATTCTACTCAATCTTTCCAATAATCTTTTAACATACAAACTATCGTGTTCAGATTTTACAGATGCAGAAACTAAGTCTTAAGAATTCAACGTGTACAAAGTTATACAATAAGTAAATGGTCATAGTTGCTTTCATTTGTTCTACGTCATCAGAAAATTGGTAATGAGTTCATATATATACACACGTATACATAAAAATAGGTAAATCTGTATTTATTTAAATACAGATTTGTAAAATTCTTTTGGCTTTATACCCAAATTTGTACACTTGACAGTGACATATATCATGCCACATAAAATTTTGCTTTAAAAGAAGGGTGCCACTGTTGTTAAATCATGTTAAATCATCACACTGCACAGCACCTCACAAGTCATCCTCTTCAGCTCCCTCTGAAGCTGAGCTCAATAAAGTTACGTAGCTTGATTTACAAAGTACAATTAGTTGAGTAGAAGTTAATGCTTCACTAAAATAATGCTGAGGAAGAGTTTAAAGAGATGCTTGTATCTTTAGGTTGACATCAGGAAATTATCATATGAAAGAATTGAGGGGTGCTTTCTGTGGATTCCAGCACAAGAGGTGACCATTGCTCTCCTCTAGTTTTCCCCATGTGAACAGGAAGGAAGGGCTATGAATCCTCCTCAAGGAAGGCAGGTGGTGTGAGCATGATTAACCAACAGTGACAAGAGGCCAAGATTTATTTTGAGCCAAGTTAGGAGGAATATTAGGAGAAAATTTCCTTAAGGCTTCTCAATTCAAGACATTCTTCCTTATTATATATTTTTTTCTCAGTTTTGAATTTCTTAAAGACACTTAAAATAGGAATAATACACAGGCAGTCACTGGACAAATAATACGGAAAAATAACAGGAGAAAGGAGATGATCAGTTTATTCGATTACTGGGATTATTGTGATTTGTTTTCTGTAACTTAGCTTTTTGCTTTAAAACATTCCAGCAGAGCTTTGCAGTTCTATCTGAGCAATCATCTGGCAAACTGCTGACTCAGACCATGGCTGAAGTCCAGATTGGTGCCCCAATGGCTTTATTTATGTCTCTTTGGACTAACTTTACTGGGGCTTGAAAAAAGAAAAAAAAAATGCCAAGAAGTGTTAAAGAAAACTGCTCTTCCCTTTTTATTTTTATTACTATTTTCTTTAAAAGCTACAAATAAAAAAAAAGTTAAAAGGCTTTTTATTTAACAATAATATGCATGCATTGAGTAGCAAATCATGACAATTTTTGTATCCCTTTTATCATCTGCTCCTGTCTGGCTCATTCTTTTTTTCTTTTGTACTGGAGGGAGGAAGTATTAGTCTAGAAGTGAAATACAGCATCATTTGAAATAACAAGAGGAGCCAAGCAATTCAAGGGAATGTAATTCAATAATATCATAAAACTATTTCAGGGCAATAATCTGAATAATATATCCTTGCATGTTAACATTTTTCCAGGAAACTGTTTTATCCATTTGCTATCCTCCAAACCAACACAAGCTCTAATCACTGAGTGGGGAGTCTCATTAGGTTTTTTGGATGTGAGTAATGTGAGGCCATTTACAATGGCTTCATCCTGTGAAATCCAATCAAGGAAATCCCACAAGAAATGTGGCAGTCATTGTGGAGGACCATGTCTGCATTCCATGATGTGCTTTAATGTGCATGTGCTATTCTATCGCAGGAAGACTTGAAAGACCTGTTTTGGTGCATGCGTTTTTTGTGGTCTTTTTTTTTTTTTTTTAAAGGTGAAGGAAAATTATACAATTTTTATTATTACTACTATTCCTTATAATCTTACTAATATGCACCTTTACAGAAATATGGCCCTAGCAACTCCCCTTCCTTGTATAGAATTCACAAGTTTCTCTACTTACAATGTGAAACTATTTTTATAGGCACTTTTCTGTCATCTTTTATCTGTTCACAGAGGCAACCTCTCACTCATATTTATGAGTTATATATGGAATAAATGTTGTTATGACCATTTTATATTTAAGGGGTGCAGGCAAAGGGAAGATTCACTGTCAGCACTAGAAACAGAACTCTGGCCAAATTTTAGAATCTAGGTAACCCTAGAGATACCTAGAGTGGGATAGAATAGAAAGTTTTAGGAATCTCCCATGAAAAATGAGAAGCTTTAGGTCAATTTATCCTTTTTAAAAAATATATTTTTTAGTTATAATGGACATAGTGTCTTTATTTTGTCTATTTATTTTTATGTGGTATCGAGAATTGAACCCAGTACCTCACCTGTATGAGGCAGGTGCTCTGCCACAGAGCCACAACCCCAGCCCTAACTTATCTTTTTCTGATCTCTGCGCATTTAAGGTAAATGGTTATTCAATAAGCTTTTAGTTCTCTAAAATGTTAGAATGTTTGCCCTTTTAGCATGGCTATATTAATATATATATGTGTATTATAAATAATTACTTACCTAAGAGAAAGAGTTTGTTCTTAGTGTTTTAAACTGTTTATACAAAAACTATTAGAGGGGCTGGGATAGAAATCTTGCTAATTCAGTTCTGTCTTGTCCATCAGTCGAATTGCTAGCTTCTGAACTGCACATAATGTGGTTGGTTATGATGGGTTTGTGGTCCTCATGAATCTATTGTGGAAGCTACAGTTTAGCCACGTTTTCCAAAGTTGCTAAATATGAATAATGTGTTATTTGATTTTGAGAGAAGAGAGTAAAGGATTGGTACATGCTGAGTTTATTCTGGAAATAGCTGTGCTGTATCAGGAGGGGGATGTACATCCTTTCTGAAAAGATTAAGTGATTTAGGAAAGCTGGCTCCTTTTCTGATATTATGCTCTGTTTCTGCCTATAATTATTTTGTGAATGTGAGTATAGGCCATTGGTTCCAGACATGGATCATCTGGTACTTCTTTTTGTTGTGCAGAACGCTAGAGGCATCCTCCCCAGGCATAATTAGTTTCTTGAAAAAGCTCACAAAAGTAGAAAAGAGCCTCATGAACATCTTAAGACAACTAGACACCATTAAGCATTCTAACTCTGACTTGTTGCTAGTGATGAGTGCATAAAAGAAACTCAGTGACATAAATTAATTTCTTTTCTCTGAGCTGTCAACATGGACTGTGTCCTTCCAGCCACACAAATGTGATGTTTACTCTAATTTGTTAATAAAGAAAAAAGCTTCTGGTTAAAAATAACATCTGTCCATTGACAAAAAACAGTTTGGATCATGAAAAGTGTTTTCAGTACATTATAAAAGCTGAGCTTGGCAGGATGTACTTCAATCATAAAAGTTGTAACAGCTTTTGCTTCTTTGAGGGTTAAAAGGGAGAGGACATGTTTCAGGCAGAGGGAACACTGACTGGCTGGGTTGCTCTGAGTTAGTTCCCTCAGAACTCTTGGCTTCATGTCCATAATACAGTCTAGATTAAAGGCTGCTTAAGGATCCCTGTTCCTACAAATGAAATTATTCACTTGACATGATGTTCCCTACTGCTTTTGCATGCTCAGATTCCCTCTGTATGTCACTTTTTAAAAATTAATTTTGTATATTTTAATTTGTTATACATGACAGTAGAATGTATTTTGATGCAGTGTACACAAGTGGAGTACAACTTCTTCCTCAGGCTGAATCCTTCTCTATATCATTTTAGGAGGGTGCATTTACTGAATTGTTCCTGACTGGAGTTAGGTAAACAATGTTGCCATATTGTTTCTGTTTGGCACTTGATGATAGTTCATTAGTGAAGAAATATCTTTTTTTAACAACAAAATTATAATTACCTAGTAATAATACCTTTATTTCTAGGTCATGCTATAGTCTCCATCATAGACACTGTTGATCTACTGTTTCCATTCATTCTTTGATATATTTTGTGGAGACCAAAGAGTAAAATTGTATGGAAAATATATGTTCCTCATCTCCTGGGTTTTTATACAGAGGCTTCATGACTCTATTAGTTCAGAGAGTAGTCACCCATCCTTGGCCAAAGTTTATGTTTATGTTTGAGGACTATTAGTGACTAAGTGTTTTTTCTCACTAACAAGACAGTAGTTTTTTTTTTTTTTCATCTAGTCAACCTGATAATTAACTTGTGTCAGTTGATACAGATTGATAGGATAATGTGTATTTGTAAGCTACACTCCTTATGGGAGTGGTACAAAGGACCATAGAGTGGTTCTGGAAAGGTTTTGGGCATTATGCATTCCTGAAAAGTTAATATTTAGATACACTGAGATAATAAAAAATGGCAGGCAAAAGAAATCCATTATTTAAAAAAATGTCCTAAGTAAAGGACCCAACAAGGTAGTTTCTCTTGTGACACTGCACCTTCCTATTTTACCTAACACACTGTTATCTTATTTGACAGCTGGCCATTTGTAGATAGGCAAATTGAATTGGAAAAATGTAACTGGTACTAGCATTTCTCAGTGGTATTTGTATTTTGTTTTACTGGCAAAAAAAATTTTTTTTCAAGTGTTGCATTCAAACCAGGGATTAGTCCCTTTAGAAAGCAACACTTTACTGCCACTGAGTAGCACTTTATAATGCTGTATATGGTGGGACATAATTATGAAGTGGTCAGTGTCAAAGGAAGAAAAATTCTAGCATCAATTGAACTTCAGGGTTAGAGGTCTAAAGTTCAGTCCTGACAGTGGCTTCTTTCATGCCAAACAGACTTTCAAGCTACTGATTGCTTTGCTTTTTCATTCACTGTGATCAGACTTGAAAGTGAGTGTTCCACTCCACTGCAGAACTGGTTTTCAAGCAAATAAGTACTGAATGGTTTTATTGTTATTCTAGTATAAAATCTGGGTATTCAAACTTTCAGATTACCACTGCCTTTTTTTACACTCTTAATTCCTGGTGGTTTTTTTTTCCCCCTATCTCCTTTGAATTGACTTTTATAATGAAATAAAGTAATTATATATCCAGGGGCATTTTGGAACAAGCCCTAACATTTTATAGAGTACTTGCTGTTGATCCTTTTTTATTTAAAGGGAGGTATAGAAGTATATTAGTAATAAATAGAATTTGGCAAAGTAATGTACAAAGCCATCCCTGGTACTTAAAATCTTACCTTTCTTGTCCCAAGCTAAGCATCCACAAGTTCTTTCCCAGGAGCAACCTGTGGAAGTTATTGTGGATAGTTTTTGTGTTTCACAACTCTGGTATGCCAATAGGGTTGGTGGTAATAACATAATTATGTGGTAAAAAGAATAGGATGCAAGAAGAGCTATATGTACACTTTATTTTGCTTTGCTTTTGTTTAATTTTGTTTTGTTTTTTGATGCTGGGAATTGAACCCAGGGAATCATGCATGCTGAGTATGTCTTCTCCCTCTGAACTACATCCCTTGCCCCAGACATTTACTAAGCACAGACCTTGGGCTCATGTATCACCTCCTTCAGCCCCAGTTTCTTTGCCATCACATAGGAATAGAATACCTGTCCTTTTTGCAAGGGTTGCATGGAAATTAACAGAAAGTGATGAATGTGAAATCCTGCTTTGCAGGACTTTGAAAGCTGTCTAACCACATAATGCCATCATTTTGATTGTCCTCATTATCGCCCTGTTAGGTAAGACATGATCGATATCAAGGCTAAGATTTATCTAGTATCACCTTTTGTGGCTTTTTTCCTTATTTATTTATCAGGTTCCCTCCTCCCCAGTGGAGACATACATCTTTGTCCTTGTTATCAGTGAGGGATTCCTTCCAATATGAAAAATGGGAATGAGCTCATTACTACATGTTTCAGGACCTATTTTCTCTGAAGCAGTGCTTTGTACAGTATCAAGAAAACAAGTTAGAAAGAAAATGGGAACACCCATAAAAAATTAAGTCTGTGAATGATAATTTATTTTGAATTTCCCTCATATTTCATTTTATTTTACATTGACGGTCAGCATATGGCTTACTTATAGAAATTTGGTTTCGGTTTTTGGAAAAGTCAGAGAAGTCCAAAGGTGTACTAAGTCTGTCTAGTTATTGGACTTAATGGATTTGCTTCAAAGATTCCAAAAGACAATAGAAATGGAAAAAGAGCAAAACTTAAAACAGAAACATTGACTGTCTCATAAAGAATATAAATTGAACCTTTCCTGCTCAGACAAAAAGCTTCTCAAGTTTTCATGGTAAACTTTTCTTTGCCTCCAAATAAACTGAACAGTGATTTGTGTTTCACATAGTGTGAAAGAGTATTTTTCATATCACCAAGTCTAGTCCTTCGTTTAGAGATCTAACCCTTTCGAAAATATGAACTGAGATAAACATTTCTTAGTCTCATGTATACTGATGAAATGTGTGTAACAGCATGTGCTTCTTTCCTTTTCCTTTAGGTTCTTGTTCATTCTCTTAGGTCCTAAGGGCAAAGCCAAGTCCTACCATGAGATTGGCAGAGCCATTGCCACCCTGATGTCTGATGAGGTAGGGAATTGGGAAGATAAGTTTTTTTGAATGACCTACTTGTGTTGTTTTCATACTGTGACTCATCTATGACAATTTATTCAGTTTGAATTATGGGGTTACTAAGATCTTCATAGCATGAAGTACAATCACGTGTGGTAAATGCACTGATATTCCCTATGCGTTAGTTTTCAAAAAAAGCAAGTCATGTACTTTGTTTTTTGTACTGGATTATAAACTGTGTTGGAATAAAACATTTTCCTTTCTTTTTAAAAACATTTTCAATTCTTTTTAAATTTTTTTTAATAGACCCATAATTGTGCCTCTATATGAGTTATAGTGTGATATTTCAATACAATTCTATACAATTTGGAATGTCTGAGGCACAGTAGGGTAACCATAGCTAATAACAATTAATTGTATATTTCAAAATAGTTAGTAAAGAGGATTTTGAATGTTCCCAAGAGGAATAAAAGATAAATGTCTGAGGTGATAAATATGCAGTTCCCCTGATCTGATTATTACATATTTTCAACTTTGTCTCAACTTTATCTCTTAAAGTATTTAATATGTTAATTCTGGGAATTTAACTATTCATATTCTATACTATTTCCAGAATTATGTGTTTTATAAAATAATCTGTAATAAAATGGATAATGCATTTTTCTTAGGTATCAGAAAATACATGTTTTATGGTTTTCTTATTTTGTGGAAGGCAAGTTGCACATCTGAAATGCATTAGCAACTGCAACTGTAGAGTATCTAGTACTTTCCAGTTATGGTTTCATTACTCTCACAACAGCTTGAATGTTGCCACATGCATTTTAGATATGACAAAACCAAACCAGACTTGTGGTAAAAGAAACACTGTTAGAATATAAGATCATTAATTTCTGCTTCTGTGTCTTTCTGCTTTACTATTTTTTCAAATGTTTCACTTTTGCTTTATTGTTGAATTTGTCAGTTTTTCCATGTGTTAAGTGAGGAATAGGATGCTTGCTTGTTAGGGATAGAAATTCTGTGTGGTGATTGCTTAGGTGATTTCCACTGGGTCTGAGAACATTGAAGTATAGCAATGCTGGTTCTTTTTCTCCCCCTATTAAGGGGATGTATATTTCCCTCCTCACAGTGAGTTAATTTATTTTTGTATGTTTATACCTTCTTTTTTAAGTTATTCATTTGAAGATGTGTCAATTAGGAATGCTTTAGGCTGCAAGTGATGGGTTTATAGTAGCTTAAACAATCTGCAGATTATTATATAACAAAGTTAGGAGGTAGATAGTAGCTGGGGTTGGTTTAGCTTAACTGTTTGCTAATTGATAGCTGCACACTTACTTCCATGGTCTTAAGATGGCATTTTTCCCCCTCCTATCAAAATTGTAACTCTACAGTGTCTGCCTGCACTCAGCTTATCACCTCACTACATTTAAAGTAGGAAACAGTGATGAGGATAATGTGAGCCGAATCTGCCCCTTTTTGCAGGCTTACCCAAACAGTGTCATTCTCATGTCTCATTGGTTGGAACTGTTGCTCTCTATCTGCAGGGTTGGCTGGAAAGGTGACTCTCTGACTCCCCAGCCACAGTGATGGAGATGGCAAAAGAAAATGAGATTGAGGGTAGCAGTGTCTGCATTTTTATTGCCCTCCTCTCTACCCCACAACCCAAAGACCATTAAATGCTATTTGATTGACAACTTTAGAAAATTCTTTTTCAGGAGAAGTGATTTAGCAGAAATCTTTAAGAATGGGGAAGGTGATTGAACAGGGTGGCCATCTTCTTTTCTTGAGATTAAAGAATTTGACCCAGTTCAGGTTCAAGCATGAAAATCTTGCAAAGAACATCAGATCATCAGTTTGGTTAGAAGAATGGAATGGTTGACAAAAAGGCTTGTGTACCTTTTGGAAATCCTTCTTTTGGAAGTTCATATAAAAGACATGAACCTTTTGAATCCTTGGTGATTTAGATATTACCTTGCCAAAAAATGGACTTGTTTAAATACATTGACTTTGTGTTCTGACCGTATAACTAAGTTTTCTTTTTAAAATGGATCACATTATTTTTGTGCTTGACAACTGCAGTGTTTGATTCTCAACCTGATCTTTACACTCACTTTAAATTTCTCCTTGAATTATCAGCAGTTGTTTGTCCCAGTAGTTTTTATTTCAGGGAGTGACTTTTCAGTATATTTCTCTGAACTATTTTCATCTGGCTTCCATAGCAACTGTATCAGTAACAGTACTTTACCAAGGGGAGCTGAAAGGCATGTAATTTTACAGTATTGATAAAAAAAGAAACACTTAAAAATAGCCATTTACTCAAGCTTCTACATATATTCTTTAAGGTTATAATCTGAAAAACTTAAATATTTTGGAAATGGCTGAATAATACAAAATAGGAGAGCATGATTATAGTAATATCATGGTGCGTTTTGGATAGCTTTATTCAGGCTAGATATGGTGTGAAGCTTGTAGAAAGCTCTTTGGTTGGATGAACACATCTCTTACCATTCTTTAGGTGTTCCATGACATTGCTTACAAAGCAAAAGATAGGCAGGACCTGATTGCTGGCATTGATGAGTTCCTAGATGAAGTCATTGTCCTTCCACCTGGAGAATGGGACCCAGCGATCAGGATAGAACCTCCTAAGAGCCTTCCTTCATCTGACAAAAGGTAAACTCTTAGGCAGTTGGAAATTTAAAGGTGCTAGAATACACCTGAGAAGGAGGTTGTGTTTAGACAAGGAAGTGGGGTCAAGCTACTGTCTTAATATTTCTAGGTCCTCATGGGCATATTGCTTCCAAGGGATCAATTATGTGCCTTTGTTTCTTATTTCCTTGATGCTGTAAAATACATGTTAAATGTTTTGATGTTCTTTAGTGATTACAGATTAGCTCAGATCACAGTATTGGAATGCATCAGAGGCATTCTTTGGGAATGTTGTTTTGGGGATGTCTCCCTGTACATGTAGAAAGATCAGTTTACTCAAGTCCTTTGCAGATTTAAGAGGTTAAGAAATTGGGTGAGGTAGTTGAAGAGAAACCATTTGTTGGAAATCTAATGTTTCCCAGGTGAATTTCCCTCTTATAAGATATACAATTAATTCAGCTTTTCATTTCATCTAATCATTTGTCTTGGCTCTGACTGCAACGTGTCAATAATTATTTGTTAGCATAGCAGAAAGAAAGAACGTTCTTTCTTCCCAAACTTCATCTTTCCATTGGCCAGTGTATGCTATAGTGAGTGCTTCATTTTAGAAGCAAATGGATAAATACTAATGTTCGCTTGGGCTCTGTTTCCTTGCTTAGAAAGAATATGTACTCAGGTGGAGAGAATGTCCAGATGAACGGAGACACCCCCCATGATGGAGGACACGGAGGAGGAGGGCATGGGGATTGTGAAGAACTGCAGCGAACTGGACGGTAACTGACGGATCCTTTTGCCATTCACCATAAGGTTTTCTTTAGATCTAAATTTCCCTTCATCTTTCTAAATTTACTTTCAGCATTTTATTCACTGGTTTGTTCATTTGTTCAGCCAACAAATATTTATAGTGCACCTATTAGTCACAGGCACTGGGGATATAACAGTGAATTAAAATCCCTGCCCTTGTGGGTCTTACTTTGTGGAGATGGGAGACAAGTAAGAAAATAAATAAACGTGGTGATATTTTTATGATGAAAAATGAAGCCGAAGTAGGGACTCTTGTCATGAGAAACAGTATTGTGATTTTAGACAGGCTGGCCAGTGAAGGCCTTACAGAGAATGGCAACATTTGAGGAAAGTGCAGAAGGAGGTGGGGGACAGATCATGAAGGGAAGATGTGGGGTGGGAGGGAACTGCCCAGAGTGCTTGCTGGAATGGCATTGGGGTATTATGGCAAATGCAGGGACAGATGGGATGTCAGAGGGTCCAACTGATGCCTGGTAAGTATGGGTACCTGGAAGACGAACTGGTGATGGGTTAGCCTTTCCCGGGTGGCTGTCAGGACTCCATCTCTTCCCTGCACATTTACTCAAAAGTGAGGAACATAGAAATGAATAATTCACAGGTCATTCCTCTGCCTCCTTAGCCTGAAGCTGGGAGTTCAGGTTTTCCAGATTGTTCCATCTGATTACTTTTAATGACAATTTTTCCTCTTCCACTATTATATTCTCCATTTTATTTTGGGGTAAGTAAAAATTTAAGTAAGATAGTTTTTTTTCCTGTCTCTTAAAAAAAACAGACAAAACAGTATTTTTTTTAATAAATAAAAAAATACTGTAGGATTTTAACTTAAAAAAAAGTATGTCATTTTGGTTTGCAGTTGAATCTTGGTGAAGTTATTTCCTTTTCCTGATGATCCACTTGGATTTCTCTCCCAAATTAAAAGAAAAATTCCACCCTCCATACAAAATCCTCCCTCTTGAGCTCTCTGTTTTTTCTAAATACAGTCATGCATCACTTAACGATGGGGATGAGGTCTGAGAATTGCATCCTTGGGCAGTTTGTCATTTTGCAAACATCATGGTGCATACTTCCACAAACCCACATGGTATAGGTCAATCATGTGACACTTTTGATAAAATCAAAAGGCAAGGTTATGACCAGATGTAGGAGATTGCTGTCAGTGTAACACAGTGTGCTGTTTTATAGTAAACTATTTTTTTGATCAGTAGAAGGTATTCACTCTACAATAATGATAATAAGAATAGTGTACCAAATACATAAACTAATAACACAGGTATTGATTAACATTATCAAGTCTTACATACTATATGTATTTGACAGCACAGTAGGTTTGTTTACATTGACATCACCACTGACACATGAGTGATATGTTGCACTGGCCCATCATACATGTGGTCCATCATTAACCAAAACATTATTATGTGCTACATGATTGAAGTTCTTAACAAACCATTTTCATTGGGAATATCATTTTGGTTTTTCTACTTACATCCAAGATAGTAGTTCTGGAATTTAGTTTTTTAAATTTCATCAGACTGTGATTTTATTCTTCCCTCTTTCACCTTTCCTAAATGCACTGTGTACCTGCAGTGTTCCTGGTGCCATGCACAGCCCTGTGAATACCAAGGAAACAGCAGTGGGGCGCTGAGTGCAGTGCAGGTCCAGCAGGCACCTAGAGAGGTAGATAATCCTGATAAAGTGTGAGAATTAAGAGTGGAAATCTGGGTGATGAAATCGGAGCACCATTGAGCATTGGAAGTGGAGAGTTCTAGGCAGAAGCAACAGCATGCATGTTTATGGCTGATGATTGAGGTCTGGCTGGGAGGGAAGTAGACTGATCCATGGGTCCATTAGCTGACCTGCTGATGTGTATCGGGGCTCAGTTTGTGCCTTCTCGTGTCACCTACCTGCTGGCCCTCCCCACTTAGTTCTTTCAGATCCTTACCCCAAAGTCACCTTCTTAGAAGCATCTTCTGGCTAGCCTATTTAAAGTTTCAAATACCTTTTTTTTCCAGTAATACATAACCCTCTTTCCAATTTAATGTTTTCTTTGATTTTTAGCACTAAGCATTTTACTTATTTATCTTGTTTATTGGCTTTTTTTTTTTTGTCTCCCCAAAGTAACCCCCATAAGAGCAGGGCTCTGGGGCCTGTGTTGTTCACTGTTGTATACCCAGCAACCAGAACAGTGCCATAGTGTGGGAATATCACAGGTGCTCAATAAACATTTGTGGGATGAAAGAATGAATGAATGTGGGAAGGATGCTCTAGCAAGATTGTAAAAGGCCTTTTATGATCCCACATATTTGGATGTTTTCCTTTGGGCAACAAAAGATTTTGTTTATGTACACAGTTCATTCTTACATACAGAACCACTGGCTGATCTTTAGGAAATGTGACACCTAATTTAGTAACTGAAAGAGGTATATAGTTTTCTGGTTTCATCTTAAGTGGTTAAATAGTATCATGTAATTGATTCAAGTGTTTTTTAATAACCAATTCTTCATGGTTTTGTGAATTGTCTTTTAATGAATTTGGTGGTCATTTATTTGTTTCTTACTTGGTCACATGTTTGCTTTCTCCCTGCCCAGGTTCTGTGGTGGATTAATTAAGGACATAAAGAGAAAAGCACCATTTTTTGCCAGTGATTTTTATGATGCTTTAAATATTCAGGCTCTTTCAGCAATTCTCTTCATCTATCTGGCGACTGTAACTAATGCTATCACTTTTGGAGGACTGCTTGGGGATGCCACTGACAACATGCAGGTGGGTATGGTTTTGGGGAGGACACAAATAGTACAGCCAGATTGTCTTCCTCACCCCTACAGCTCAGTTAGAAGCAGATGGCCTTTCAGTTACTCAGCGTGATTTTCTTTCTTTTGCTGGATGCTGCATTTTAGTTTGCTTCTGGCTTGCTGCTGTATTTCCAGCATGTTAGTAATTACAAAAATAGCTCGATGAAATCTGGCTTGAGTCACAAGTGGGGAAAAGAAGGAGAGGAAATGAGGATCTACAATTCTATTTGGGCAAACACATATCAGCTGCCTTACATTTGTGCAGTGCACAAGGTTTAGATCTTCTCCATTGAATGTATGGACCATATTCTGTTAAACTTGATCATCACACTCTTTGGGAATGCATCATTACTTTACTCTTTATCTTTGCTCTTACATGAACAAATAATAATCAAACAATTGAGAGATTGCTCAAAGTGGGATTTGTAACTAGTAGACTTCAACTTTAATGGATGCAAGTTAATAGCTGTTTCTTCCATACCTGAACCTGTCTCTCATTAAGCCATAATGATTCTGGTGTGGCTTGTTTTGTACCATTAATTGTAACCACAATTTTTTTGGTTACTTTGAAAGTGGCATTTGTCTTCCTTTTGCATCAATAATAGCTACAGAAAGAGAAGATGTTTTTGATTCCCCTAATCAATTGAAATAATAAGTACAAAACTACTTTTATTTGATCCAGTCATTAAAACAAATAGGCATTGTGTTAGGATGAATACAGAGGAGTGAATAAGTTTGATAGTCCCATTAAAAGAATCCAATTCAAGCCCTTTCTACACTCTGTTCTTACTTACTTGGGTTTAAGCAATGTGACATTTGTAAATGCTGCCAGCCAGCTTTTTTTTTTTTTTAATGTAACTAATTCCAAAAAATTACTTTGTCCCACTTCACTTTTCTTGCCTAGGTACATTTATGTTCTAGATTTCTTTTGAATACAAAAATAAGATGGAGGGCTGGGGTTGTGGCTCAGTGGTAGAGCACTCGCCTAGCATATGTGGAGGCCCTGGGTTCGATCCTCAACACCACATAAAAATAAATAAACAAAATAAAGGTATTGTGTCTAACCAAAAATAAATAAATATTAAAAAATAAGATGGAAACTATAACACGTATATTGTCCCTAGTGAAAAGGGAGAAATGACTTTAAACATTGTTCAAATGCCCATACCTTATAGCCCTTATCTGTCTGTACAGCATATTGCCCCAAAACGTGGAGGCTTGACATAACCATTTTAAACTTCTTCTCATGGCTCAGGCAGTTGATGCTTAGCTGAATGGTCCTCTATACTTTGCAGTCAGATGGCATCAGAGGCTGAAGTCCCTTAAAATGACTTTTTGCTCACATTCCAGTGCCTGGCTTGGGCTGTCTGGAACAGCTGGAGTCTGAGGATTCTCCACATGACTTTTCCACATGGCTAGCTTGGGGACTGTGATGACTCCTAAGAATTCATGCTCCACTGGAAAGGGGAACTTGCTGTTCATCTTTACTTATTTCCATGTAAATGTGTACCCATATCATTTTCTGATTTTTCAGAAAACCTGAAAAATTAAAACTCTTAGTGAAATCTCATGACACTTAAATATTGGCAGCCAATTAACATTTAAAAAATAACATTGTGCTGGCCAAAGAACTTGTATCACTGTGTTACCCATGAGAGACCTACAGCGCAGATTTTAGAGACTAAACTTGTGGACCACAGAGATGAAATACATGAAGAATCTTCCCCATCTGCTCCTGTACTTTCTCTTCATTCATAAGACAGGAGTGAATAAACTAAATTATGACAGTGATGTCAGTAATAGAGTTTTTATAAACTTTGATCTGTATCCAAATTGGGCAGTGATTCTTCATCTAGATGATAACATAACATTCATTAAACAGATCATTCAAGGAAACAAGTGTAGAAGAAAGAAAGCACTGGGTAAGCATGCTGAGGCCAGCATGAAGAAGATAACACAGGTAGCCACATATTAAAAGAGTAATGCTAGTTTTGAGGACGGTAAGAACAAAACCATTTTCTGTCCATCAGAAAGTACAGAGACCTTCTTGTGCAGTTAATTTTTAAACATTTGTTCTGACATTTTTCTCATTGAGGTGGGGGACTTTGTGGCACTTCCCATGTGTGAGCATATTGCCTTTCTGAACTGAATCGAAATCTTTGCAGCCTCATAAGACTTAGCTTTAGAATGCAGCATCTGAGACTCAGGGCAGGTTATATTGAAATCTGTTTTGATCCCTCCTATATTAATCGATTTCTATCTGAGTGTGTCCTTGGGAAAGTAGAGGACTCTGTTGTGTAACATATGTAGGTAACATAGGATTACCACCTCCCCTACCATGATATATCACCTGGACAAGGCCTTACTTGTGAAATTAGCTATTTTCTAGAATGTGAGGATTTCAGGGGAAATGAATGGTTTAGGGCATCAGGATGTTAAGTAGTACATCAGAATAGCCCTTTGCTGGATATTATTACTCTTAGGAATTGACAATTCAAAGTAATGCAAATACAAGAGTTTGTTTTTTAAAAAAATAATTAATTTTTGTTAGTTGTAGATAGACAGAATGCCTTCATTTTATTTATTTTTATGTGGTGCTAAGGATCAAACCCAGTGCCTCACATATGCTAGGCAAGCACTGAACTACAGCCCTAGGACACTGAGCTACAGCCTCAGCCCCATGAAGTTATTTTCCAGATAAAATTTGATAATTTTATTAATAGATTCTATAAACTCCATGCATAATTTTGTTGAAACTGTAAACACATTGTTTTAAAAGTTTCTGTGATTGAAAATACTGAAGTAACATTCTTTTTTCTTTTCTCTCAAGTCTGAAGTCTTATTCCTTTAAGAACTGTATTGACCAAGTCCTTCTCTCAGACTACAACTTGGTACTTCTGAGAAGTCCAAGTAGGTGGCAGAAACATTGAAAAAGAAGGGTAGAAAAAAGAATGATTATTAATCTACATTTATTGAATTGAAATTCAACAAATACTTTTATATATTTTAAAGACTAGGGAGTAAGGTGGTTTAATATGTTGAAGAGTATCTCAGGTACTGAAAGGGTGTGTACTTTAACACAAAAAAAAGTTTTGAGACCCTTGCAGTAGAAGACTTCTTGACTTAGCAAGAAGGACAAGAGAATATTTTAAGGATTTAATTCAAAGATCCAGGTCATTTAACAGGTCTAAGGAAGAGTTTGATTCATTCCTTTGCACATATTTATGGAGTGTTTACTATGGGTCAGAGACTATTTTAAGTGCTGGGATACAAATAGGTGAGCAAAATAGATAAGAATCCCATGCTGGTGGTATTTGCAGTCTAGGGTGTTGATGAATGCAATGTTTTTCAGTGCCCAGTAGTGGTGTGTAGTGGGTTTATTTAGGGGGTGAAGTCCCCTGGATTCATGAGACTCTAGACCAAGACTAAGCAGAAAAGCATTGGTAAAGCCTGAGATAATCTGCAGTTATATCACATGCATTCATAAATGTGGCAGTGGGTTATTCTCAAAAGCACAGGCAGTTCCAGTGAGTCAACTGAGAACAGTGTCCTTGCCTTTAAGGCAAACAGCTCTGAAATGGTTCACATAGGGCCCTTATTGTCAGGCTACAAATAGACATGGGTGCTGGGTGGAAGCATGTTGTGAAAACACAGATGAGTCACTGCACGACTGTTGTCTAAGCAAACTCTTCTGCCAGCTTCTGTTCAGGAGGTCTTGCCTGCTTGAAGACAGGATTTTACATCTAAGCTTTTATTTCAGAGCTAATGATGCACACACACATATACAAAATTAGATTATATATATGTATATGTATATATGTGTGTATATAATATATCATTGGAAGCAGATGATCTTAAAAGCTATGTAGACCATTTCCTCTGTAACTATGTTCAAAATAAGAACAGTTGAGGCTACGATGGCTCCAAGTATAATTAAATCCTATTGCCAACATAAATGACTGCATGAATTCCCCAACTTTGGCATATATATTTTGCCCATCAGGCAGTTATGATAGGACTCTGGGGCTTACAGAGTGGGTATTCACAGATTTCTTGTTAAGTGTTGGCAATTATAGCTTAACTTGGGCTTCTGGAATCGACTGAACCACTTTGCCAAGAGTAGACCTTACACTCATGTAGGATCCAACCTGGGCTTGTGACTGATTCCTGTTCTTTGAGCTTAGCAACAAAGACCTGAAACGTATGCTTTCTGAAGTCCAAGAACAATGCAATACTCTTATTACCCTTTTCATTCAATCTCACCAAAAATAATTCTCTGCTCTCCTTGCCGTATTGTCAAGTAATCCAAAACTTTTCAACCTCATTGTTTTAAAATCATGTCCCTTCCACAACCAAAGTCTCTATCACCTGCATGCCTGCTCTTTACATTGTATCTGTAATCTTGGTTGCCACACAAGCATACTGCTCTATTCATTTAGGTACTTCGGATTAAATTGTTAAATGTCAGTGTATAAATAGCTTCCATCAGAATCTGTTATAGTTATAGATTTTCACTCACAGTACTATCTGGATGGATCCTTGCTATCAAACTAAATCAACAAATATTTATGGATTGCTTGGTTTATGGGCAACATATTGGCACAAAAAAATACTTTTTGATATTTTGTGTCAAGTCTTGTGTTACCTAAAAATTATTCTCCTAAGCTTTATAGAATACATGAAAGTACTTTAATTTAAATCTACATTTGATTGTGAATGACTAAGCATAGTCTAGAGTGAAGACTGACTGAAGAATGTAATTTTAATTTTTTTCCGGGAGTAAATATAATCCTATTTTCACAAACCTTTTAGCCAAAGAATTCAGTAAGATTTTTAGAATTCTGTGAATTTTGTGATATTTATGGAGCCTAACAGAGCACATTTTAAGGGAACTTGTCTCATAATAAGGAACATTTATAGCTGGCATCTCCAAATTTGAAGCTTTATTTTAACATACTGCTGTGCCGAGAA